ATTCAACAAAGTAACTGAAAAATTAATTCAACTGTAACTGGTAATATATTCTACTAGTGTGTACCCGCGACTTCGTTCGCGTCGAATTAATCATTTGTCATGGTGATGATAAAGCAAAGCAAGAATTTCCATTGACATACAGACTGGATGAAATTTTATCACATTTATGTCAGCATGAGGAAAAACAATATGGCGGTATTATTATATAACTTGGTAATATTTGAGGGGTAGATTCATCTCGTTGGAATTTGACTTTCAAAAAATCCGTTTGCCAAAAATAAGCTTTTTACGTCAAGCAGTTTAAGCAGAATCGTGATTCGGATGGTCATATTTTATGAAACACCCTGTATAAATTTTTAAAAAATCCTAAAATATGTAAAACAACAAAATAAAATATACGTGTTTAAGAGTTTTTCTGAAAAACTCACCGGTTTTTAAATAAAAAATATTATAGTATTTGAGGGGTGGTTTCACCACCTTGGAAATGGTATTTCGAAAAATCTCTTCTTATCGAACCTCTACACCATAGAATCAACCTGTATGCCAAAATTGAGCTTCTTACGTTGAGTGGTTTGAGCAGGATCGTGATTAATCAGTGAGTCAGTCACTTAAGGATTTTATATATTAGCCTTGTTTATATATTCTTAAAGTTGGTCAACCGACTAGACAAAATGTGCTGCTAACTGGAGGACAAATCGTGAACCTTTCGGGGCGGAGTTAAAAATATCGATTATTTTCGTTATTTTCCTCAGAGTAATGTAATAATATAGCCCCGGGTATCTGCAAACTTTAATAGTGATCAGCTGATTAAGAAATTTAAACGAAACTTTTATTTAACTGTAAATTGTGGATTATTTTTGCCTGTTATTTTAAGAATTCTAAACCGTATTAACAAAGAAATTATTATTTCGATATGTTGGTACATTATTTATAATTTATGACAATGCTAATTGGCTGTTAATTAATATTTAAAAAAAAGTAACATACCTATTTTAATTTGATTTAATGCAGGTTTATAAAAGAATCATTTCATTCTTAGATTATTTTATTCTAAATTGAGTGCTTTACGAATTTTACGATATTTTTTTTTGAAAGCATAAAACTTTTTACATTTTTGATGCCAACTAATTGGCATGGTATTATTGGTATGGGAATTGGCCAAGAAAGAAAAGAATTGGCTATAACTTGTAATTTTTCGAAAAAAAAAAACATATTATACCTATATCGCTGAAAAGCTTAAAGAATGGCGCTTTTTATGAAGTCATGGCAAACTAGGGTTTCCATTTAAAAAAAAACATAATGTTTGTGTCATATGTCAAAAATGACAGGCTGTAGAAAAAAAAAACAGAAAACACAAACTCATTAGGTATGTGATTATCCACAACTTTTATCGATCGATGATATCTCCCGATCGATGATATTTCTCATATAATTTTACATATAAAATGACAACGATCTTCATTTCATAGCCATCGTTGACGCCGTTTTTATTTGATTATACGGTAGATTATAATGGTATTAGAGACAAGTTTTAAAATAGCCAAAATTTGTTTTTTTCGAAATGTCTAGTAAGCCTTGAACTTCTCCGAAAAATCCGAAAGGCGCATATTTATAACCCCACAAAACTGCATTTCTTTCCCCATTTAACCGACTCTCTATCTCCAGTAGTTTCCGAGATACTAATAGAGAACATCGTAGGAAACTTACCTTGTATAGTATTTAGAAACTAACTATTATTATTATTTGACTAGATTAATTTGATTAATAAGACTCGATTAATTTAATTTAAAATAAATTTGATCTGATTTTTTTTTGTATATTCTACTACCAGAAAACCAAAATTATATGATAACGCACTTTTCAACGAAGTTGAAGGAAGATATGTATCTATCACAATACTTAATAGAATTACTACAATTAGAAGAAAAACAAAAAGAAAAAATACCCAAATACCTTCACCTACTACTCATCTACAAAATAAACGAATATAATCTCTTATAAAAACACTACAAAACTACTTGTATTTTACACTGAAAAAATTATCAAACTTACTAATTAATCAAACAAAAAGAAAAAATAACCAAATTATCCCTTCACCTACTACTTAACTACAAAATAATAAACTATAAAAACACTACTAAACTATTTCTGGTATTCTACACTAAACATTATAATTAAACTTAATAAAGTTAATCTAATTTTACACTACAACTATAAAGAAATAAGAACATTTTTTAAAACTAGAAGAAACAGAACTTCGTGCGACCAGTATAATAGATCAAGCGGACAAAGAATATAAAATACTTTAAAAATGTGCATTCAGAAAGAAAAAAATATCTGGAAAATTATCTAAACAAACATTTTTTTTTTCTTATCAGTGAAAAGCATCGGCCTCGTCGGCCTTGCGGAATTTGTCGGGTATTTACAATGGTCGAATTGTATAATTGCCAGCTTTTATAGCATATCTAATAGACAAAAAGTATCTGGTCGATTAGTAACCAATTGGCACAGTCCGAAAATTATCGATTTTTATTTTTTCTGTTTTTATTGGTCGCTTCAAAATTCAGAGTAACAAAAAATATTTTTCTGTAGTAAAAGACTGTGAAATACGCCCCGCCATCTGGTGCTTTACATCCATAAACGTCTTAGGTTGAGCTACTTTAAAAATTCATATACAAGGATATTAGTATTATAGCTGAAGAAAGAGGGGACATCAAAGGGTTAGTCGCAATTGGATAACAAACAAAACAAAATAAAGTCAGTGAAGGCTTCAGTTTCCATGCACCTTGTAAATTATAGTAAAAAATACTAAAAAATCTGTGAATAATCGGAAAAGAATGCTCGGTAAAAACGAGCGAAACCGTATCTGGTTGACGCCACTCTCATCAGTCTGACGAGGTGTTTTGGCCGGCGGCTGCCAAGGGCCACAAAGGGCAGCCGAGGCAAGTGGGTGGTCCCTGAAGGAGCCACCGTGACCAGCACACGTCATCGCGCTACTTCCGTACGTCAAAATGGGCCCTTGATTGGCCCGATGGTGATATATGGTTCTGTAATATACACCGAATAACTTGATTAATATGTTTTTTTTTATGTAAAATCGACGACGTCAGATCACGACGACCTTTGTGTGCCTCTTTCTTGAGTTATAACTCGTCATACAGTCTCAGGGCTTTGACAAAAGCCAGTATCTGAGACGCTTTTACAGAGGTTAGTTATCCGTCTCCGATATCAGTCGTACCAAAGATTAGGGCACGAATGGTTGTCGTCTCGGCGCACTCAGTGATTATAGGTGTTCTGGTGTTTCCCCATTTTCCCCACAGATTCTGAATTTGCCGTTGTTTCTTAGCTTCAAACTATTAAGGTGTTTGTTTAGGAGACAGTGTCATATTAGAAACCCCGTGACAATCCGAAGAATATTCTTAATTAAATCAGGGAAAATATTTTGATTTTTCAGAGTGTCTAAAAATTTATTTTAAATAATTATTAGCTTCAAACGGCAATAACTTCTTTAATTTAAATGGAACATCCTGTATATTTTACGAGAATCAGATGCACAATTTAATTGTCTATCAAATTATATTATACCATTTTTTACCTATCTCTTTAAGTTTCCGTAGAAAATGCATTTTCTTGTAATTTAGAACTTATTTATCAATATACCCATGGACTATTGACATTTTAGATTATTTTTAAAGATGTACCAAATTTTTAAAGAGTACCTACAGATACTAATATTGTCGATATAATTCGTTTATTTCATTAAAAAATAAAAAAAACTGTTTAAATATTTGTTAAAGAGGACCAATTAATATGATTCCAGTATTCAAACTACATTAACTGACTGTTTGCGTTGTTTAATAATAATTGCTCCAAATACTAAAAAACTGAATTTTATATGGACGTTAGACTTAGACAGTGTGATAAAAAGTAACACCTTAAAAATGATATTTCATTTTTTAATAAATGCTTATTTATAACAACAAAGACTTTAATTTGATAACTTATTATTATATTGATTTCTGACTCAAAAATCCACATTTATTTATAATAATTTATTAACGAACACAATTAAGTATGTCATTAATTACTATATGGGCGGAAATAATGGTGTTATATTTAATTAATGGTATACTCTTTTATAAAGATTTAAATAGTTTTCTTTTTGCATACAAATGGGCTAGTAATATTATCGTTTTGCTAAAACGATAATATTACTAGTCTGTACATTTTGTACATTTGTTGCTTTAAAAACAATCTAAAATGTCAATATTCCATGGATATATTGATAAATGAGGTCTAAATTATAAGAAAATGCATTTTCTACGAAAACTTGAAGGGATAGGTAAAAAAAGGTATAATACAATTTGATAGACAATTTAATTGTGCATCTGATTCTCCTAAAATATGTAGGGCATTCCATTTAAATTAAAGAAGTTATTGCCGTTTGAAGCTAATAATTATTTAAAATAAATTTTTAGACACTCTGTATAAGGTAGTATTATTTTTATTATTGCAACACAATAACTGATCAATAAATAAACTTCATTAAATATTTAGTATTAAAAACATTGATACCCTTGGAGAAATGAAGCTTTTAAATTTTTACTGCAATTTCACAAAATTGAAAATATTTCAAAAACGGTAAGGTTTAAGTATAATAAACCTTAATCAAATTTACCTTTATTTTAATCGTAGAAACTAAAAATGTAATAATATACAGGGTGTTCCATTTAAAAAAATACAACTTTAATATTTTTTATTTATTTGGGACACTCTGTATCTTGTAAAAATATTTTTAATTTGTAGCTGTAATAGTCCTTCAACGAACCCCAAACTTACAATTTGTAAAAATCTCATCGTTTAGCTACAATACTCCGTGTCGTATGTGGTGAACAACCCTGTATATGTTTTTGAATATAGTTTCTTTGAGATTTATGAGCGTTTTACTGTATATGAATGTTGAAATTAAAAAAAAACAATATTAACTCAATACTCGCGATCTTTTTATTTCATATAAAATCTCACTATACATATTATACAATATATAAAATATAATTCTTTTTAAACATTTATACACGATCAAAAAGTTTTATAATCAAGTAGACTTTGATTTTGACACTTGAAAAAATTATTGTAATGTAATTGATCGTGAAACTTTTTGACCATATCGTATATACAGTATGTCCCCGGATTGTCTTTATAAAAGGAAAAAATTTCATGTTTTTTTTTTAATTTTCTCTTAAACGGTATGGAAATTTGGAAAAGTTTAAACGGGATTAACCATTTTAGAACAAGCAAAATTTTTTTATGAAAATTTTTATATTTTACTGAAAATATTAATAATAAAAAAGTTTTTTCTCTTGTAAAAAAAATCCGGGACATACTGTATGGAAACATAACAGTAATTTGTCCAGCAAATTTTTATAAACTGTCTAATTTTATTTACACTTAATATTAACTAAAATAAATAAATTATAACAATACAATGCCTAATATATAGGGTGAACCACTGCTTCGAAAAAATCCATACCAGATTTTTAAAAGGATTTATTTTCCTATTTTTTTTTCTCCAAACACTGGTTCACACTATATACAAAAACATTGTGGTAACATAATACACAAAACACTTTACAGCTCATATCAACAACCCAGTATACTTCGTATAGAAAAGTCCGAATACTTCTTTGCTGTGTTTTCTTTAACAGACTCCTTTTCCCTAATACTGTCGCTCTGTCTCGTATACAGGGTATCTCTCCAGAAGAAACCACCGTAATAGTTTGGATAGAAACCTGGGTAGTACGTCATGGGATGGTACAAACTTGACGGAGGCGAATAGTACCCGTCCCAAGCGTATGGATAACAATACGTAGGTTCTTTTGGTGAAGTTGATGGTATTTTTGGTGATTTCAATTCTTCTGATTCTGTAGGAGATGGAGGACTATCAGTAGTACTGGAAGTACAAACTGGAGAGCTTGAAGAAACCGATTCTACGTCGATTTTGAGTGTTTTACATGGCAATTCATCACTATCACTATCAGAACAATCTTCTTTCTTCCTTTTACACTTAGATTGACCAGTCACTCTAAATCCTTTAGCAAAAGGATTATTATCAATCTTCAGTTGGGTGATTTTCTCGTTTTGATATGCTGTAACTGCTACAAATAGGGTTTCAGGGAACACAATGCATTTGTTAGGGACCCAGGCAAAGGTACTTGGATCTGACGTCTTGGCAATTATGATTCTAGGTTGGTACTTGTGCATGGAGGTTAGAACTACTTGGCCTGGAGGTGGAGCGGCTGTATTGGTCAGTTTCATTCTGGCGAAATTGACGGTCTGGGACATCCAGTACTCTCCTTTAGCCGGACTTTCGGGATGGACGTATAGTCTTTTCGGACTTTGAGCTTCTTCGCTTCCTAGAAAAAAGAAAATAAATAAAATTATGAAAATGATTTGAATATATTTGAAAGTTTCTAATATTTTTTTTAATGAAGATTTAAGTAAAAATGTGTGTATTAGAGTACTGGTCGTACCTGCCGGGGCCCAACCTTCGTTAGTTGAGTATTTTAGTCTGCAATGGGAGGCGGGAACCATCTCTATCATGACGCAGTATGTGCTTTGGGGTTCCAGATTGCTGATTTCGATTTGCAGAGATGGAAACATCCTTCTGTAAACAATTGAAATGTTTTGTTAATCATTTTTTTTTATGAAAAAAATCTGATTTAGACACAAATATATTTGTTTTTAAGAATAAATAAAAATAAAATGAACTAAAATGGCGATTTCCATCACCGTCAAGATGGAAACAAAGACCTGTTGAATCAGTTAAGGCTAAACAACATGGTTTTACACCCTAAAGACTCCGATCAAGATCAAACCGTATCGTACAAAGCTTCGCCTGTTTTTTCTAGCGCAAAAAGAGCCGCTAGCCCCTGCTAGGGGTGGCCACCGAGCTTTTTCACCCTCGGCAAGTCAAGTGTTAAGGCCGACGCCACAATGGCACCGAACATGCGGCTTATCTCCGGGCAAGACCGTCTCACCCACTGTCTTTTTGTCTGAGATTTTTGCCGACAAACCTGTGCCCTCAGACCCATAAATATCTTCAGTTTCTTTTCATATTTTTCAGCTTTGTTTTATGCAAATTTTATAAGGTCAAAATCGCTTTCCGAGTTTTTTCCGAGGTTTACAAGGTCAAAATCGAGGGATCATACCTTTGAATAATCGCCTATAATAGTTATTTATGTATCAAGGGAATTATAAAAGTATTAATTAAGTACTGTTAATGCAATTTTATTGATTAACATCAAATTTATCATGTCAAAAAACTCCCAGACACCAATTTTCATTCAAATATTGACGTTACTTCAGAAATTATTGGGAAAAAATCGAAATAAAAATGAAACTTCAACACCCTGTATCTCCGAAATTAAGCATTTGAGGACATACATTTATACGAACATTTTTACTTATTTTTTTTTTATCTGGCAGAATATGCTGCTGAAGTTTCCGGAATACAGTTCGGACCACCCTGTATATCGCGGTCTCAATAATTTTATGGATATGCTCATTCTTTAGACTTTTTCTTCAAAGATTCTGTGTTTTGTCTTGAAAATTTCTGACAACCGATTGGCGAATTAAAAAGACTCGTTTTTTATTATATCCTTCAAAATAATGCCGCATAGAGCTGTTGAGTGTCATATAGTGCCAACATAAAACTACCACTTTTATACAAAATACCCCAAAATTTCCACGCTTATTTGCTTAGACCTTTGTACGAAAAGAAAGGAGCACAAAAAGCCCCGTTAAGTATAGAAAATAAGATGATGCCACATAATCCTTTTGTGCGACAATGGTTTCCATGTCAAAGGAAGCCGACAAAGATGGACTCACACTCTAAGTACTAAGTTGGCTTTTGGTCGTGTAGAGCAACGGTGAGACTGTGCCCGAATTAAGATGAACAGGTACATAAAAATGTTTCAAAAGAAGGAGTTCACACATGAGTTGCAGGAGACCATCGTGAGAGATATTTTTTGTTTTGTATGAAGAGGTTTTTCTTTTCAGGGTTTTTGTTATATGATTATTCGTTGGTTTTTGTGGTTTCTTTATGCTTTGAATTATTAAAATAACAACTATTAGTATAAAAAGCTTCATTCAGAACCTCCAAATTAGTCGTTTCATTTAGCGCAGAGGTTTGTTGAAGCTGTTGCTAGGATATTGAAACTGAAACCACTAATTTAATCACTCAACGTAGGAAGCTCAATTTTGGCATACAGGTTGATTCTAGGGTGTAGAGGTTCGATAAGAAGGGATTTTTCGAAATTCCAGTTCCAAGAGGGTGAAACCACCCCTCAAATATTACAATATTTTTTATTTAAAAAACGGTCAAGTTTCCGAAAAAATGCTTAAACACGTATATTTTATTTTGTTTTTTTACACATTTTAAGATTTTTTAAAAATGTATACAGGGTGTTTCGAAAAATCTGGTCATTGATTAATCACGATCCTGCTTAAAGCGCTTGACGTAAATAGCTTATTTTTGGAAAACAGATTGACTTTAGGGTGTAAAGGTTCGATAAGAAGGAATTTTTCGAATCTCAAATTCCAAAAGGGTGAAAACGCCCCTCAAATATTACAATATTTGTTATTTAAAAAACGGTTAGTCTTTTGGGAAAACGCTTGGATAAGCATAATTTATTTGGTTTTTTTACCATTATTTCGAAATTTTTTAAAAAATCATACAGGGTGTTTCAAAATGTTGGGTAATTTCTTAACCACGATTCTGCTTAAACTGCTTGACGTAAAAAGCTTATTTTTGACAAACGAATTTTTCGAAAGTCAAATTCCAACGAGATGTTACCAAAGTTATATAATAATATCGCCATATCGTTTTTTCTCATGCTGACATAAATGTGAGAAAATTTTATCCAGTTTGTATGTTAATGGAAATTCTTGCTTTGCTTTATCATCACCATATACAAATGATTAAATTCGACGCGAACGAAGTCGCTGTCGCTACTTCATCTAGGTAAACCAGTAAAATTTTTTGTGTTTGAAAAAATTAGACACAAATTTAGACAATAATTTAATTCTACAATGAAAGAAAAAATAAATAAAACCAAACAAAAAGAAGCTCTTATACAAAGGAAGTGTTGATTTACTCTAACCCCCGACAAAAAAAAAACACAAAATTACTGTGATTTCGAAAATGAAAACGACTTCCTTTAGACGCCAGTTGTTGACAGGTACAAATAACCGTAATTTTCGCTTTTATCAAATCAAAACTTCCTGTGTGAATTTCTCTTTTCGAAAATTTTCGAAATTTCTAATCCCTCCGGAGACAAAAACTAATAAAGGTTGCGCTAATCCTTCTCACACACAAATAAGGTAATTAGAAAAGAAATTAGCGATGTCTGAGTGGGGCTTTCTTCAAAACCAAAATTTTGCTTTGGTGTCTTTTGGAGATATTAGGGAGTTTTCGCAAGTACCTTTTCTCATAGACGATACTGAACAAAGAGACTTACCCCCATAACTTTTTTATTTTTTCAAATAAAAAAACCAGATTTGGTATTTTAGTATATGACATAAAAAAGGGTTGATTGATGTATTCAATTATTTTTGGTCACTTCCTGTTTCACAGGAAATAACTACTACGTTTGATTTTTAAATGGTACCCTCGGTATTCTTTTACCTTATTTGATTTAAAATTACATAATGAATAGAATGACATCTAATACCTCAACTTTTGACATTTTCGCTTAAAAATAGTACTTTAAACTAGACAATTTGACTCAATATGTAAGTATCTGTTACCAAATTATTCGGTAATTTTTCGGTTTTTTAAAGCAAAAATCTCAAAAGTTGACATATGATATATGTCATTCTATTACTAAAAAATTACATAGGGTGCCATTTAATAATCAAAAACAAAACAAAACAGGAAGTGACGAAAAACAATTGAATACGTCAATCAATTCTGATTTATGTCATATACTAACGTACCAAAAGTCTCGTTATTTTATCTTGAAAAATAAAAAGTTATAGCACAAAAACACCCGGCATACTCAGACACAAATAATGGAAGTTTCCCTTATTTTTGTGGATAATTGTTTTGTGCCAAAACTCCCTTTTTACAACTCGGTACTACAGGTATCTGTACCTGTGATTTGCCGCCACTTGAAGCAGACAAAGATAATAAAAATATACGATGTGCCAAAGCGACTATTGTAAAATGTCAAGTGGTTTTTACAGCCATGAGAGAATTAAAACTATAAAACCATTTATCCAAAATAGAAAATTTTGGATTAGGGAACTACTGAATATAATGACACCTAATTTTAATAAAGGAATTAATACCTCTCCAAGAATTATTGAATGAACAATTAGAATACCATTAGAGGGAAAATTTAATGTATAATTTACATATTTTAATTAGATGATTTATATCTAATTTATTGAAACCTTTGAATAAAAAGATTAAGAAAGAACTACAAGATTTTGGGTGACCTTAAAGATCTTTTGTCTCCCCTTTCCTTGAGTTATAACTCATCATACAGCCACTGATTTTTTACCTCTTGTTAGCGAAATAGTGTAAGCAGTTTAATGCCGATTAAAAGTTGTCTCTTGGTATTTTGTCGATTTCGGCCTCCTTGATGAGATAAACGCAATTTTATTAATTTGCTTTGATCCAAGTCTAATAGCAACCTTTAAAAAATTTTAATATCATTAACTTGCAAACGTTTTAAATAAGTACTCATACCATTATTCTTTTATTTGAAATTGCTGTAGGTTGGATTAATAGTAATTAATGACTAATGACAATAATATTAAATAATAAATTAGGTAAAATACATAATTTATTAATTTTATTTTTATTTTTAATTTTCTTAATTTTGATTAATAAAATTGCGTTTATCTCATGAAGGAAGCCGAATTCGACAAAATATCAAGAGGTAACTTTTAATTGGCATTAAACGGCCTACACAATTTTGATATCAAAAGAAAAAAAATCAGTAGCACGTCCCTGATAAATTTCCTCGACACTTTTTAGCATTCAAATATGTATTACTTTTAGTAATTTTTACCCTCAAAATTACACTCGAAACGCTAAAAGTATTTGAAAGAAAATTATAATAAATCCAACAATATTAAGATTTTAACACCCTGTAGCTACGAAACAAAGCAGAATCGGTCCTATGTTGATATGAAAAATAAATATTATCTTTACGCCAAGAATCTCCGCACGAGAAATGGCACATGTTTTTTGAAACACCCTGTATAAAATATGTCACGTATTTTAGCAGACCAAAAATTATGAAATTCAAAAAAAAAGTTGAGAAATTGTCCTTGATGATTAAACTGAAGTGGACAGGAAATGCTGGGCAAATCCAGGATACGACAGTTGTTTATGATAATCCTATGACGTTTTGTTAGTGTTGGACGATATTTTGCACGTCCCAAAACGTACCGTAACCACATATGGTGTTTTTCAAGCCACCGAAACGTGTTTATTTACCTTTGGTCCCAAAACAACAACCCTCGGTAGGTTATAACAGCCCCAAGGATGTCCTTGAGACACATTTTCCTACCATTATTATAGCCCTATTGTATTATTCCTATTTTCTCATATACCATGTTGATTTTTTGAAATTGATTTGAAAAAAATATGTACGCAAATAGTTTACCAGAAAATTCTGAACAGTATACACAGTGTATGAAATTTCAGTGGCTGATTATACAGATAAAAAGAAGTTCCTATGAACATATGCTTCCTGAGGAAGTTACAGTCTTTGATAGTACCCTTATAGTACCATATGATCGAAGAAAAAACAGCGTCAAGGACGGCTGGGAAATGACAATCCATGATAATTTCGAAAATTTAATAAAAATTGTTAAAAACAATTGTCAAAAATTAACATTAATTATAGAAAGATTAATCTCTTTCTAAAAGATTATTTTTTATCGAATTTTAAACTACTCCATTTAAAAATCATTTTTACTCAATATAAAAATAAATTACAGTTTTATTAAAATATGAAGAATAGTAGGGGCCAAGTATATGACGTCTAGAGCTTCACCTAGTCAAAATGATCACCAATTGCCATTCCCCAGCCGTCTTTGACGTCGTTCTTTTTTCGATCGTATGGTATTTATCCCAAATGACGTATATAGGTTCATATTATGTGTAGAATTCTGATAACTTACCTTCCAGTCTTAGTGATGATCATCTCATTTTCCAAATTGTTGAACTTGTGCCACAGATCGTCGTTTTTTAATCGCACTTGGCACTCGTTCATCACATAATGGTCTATAACACAAATCAAACACAAAATTTTTAAATAAATTTGCCAAAAAATAAATAAAATTTATATAGAAAACAAGTTTTGAAGGCTTTTTATAGTAAATTACTTGTAAGCGCCGATGGTCCGACAGAAATTATGAACAATTTTCATTTCAAAGGCCACTCTGACACTGTTTTTTTTTCGGTCATTAGGATACTTTATTCTGAATTATTAATAATTAACATTACAATGTAATAATATGCCATAAAGTAGGTATATAGGTAATTGAAGAATTAAAATGATATAGGTAATAGAGACCCTTTTATAAAGTATACCTACCTGTTTGGTTAATTTTGAAAAGTACCTAATATAATACAGGGTTTAAAAGAATTACTATTGAAATTACTTTTCATTTATATCAATAGGTACAATAATTTATAATATATACAGGGTGAGTCTTATATAAGTACAAATATTTTTAAGGGTAGTATTTTAACCCCAGAAACACGTATTTTTCGCAAAAAAAAGTTTGAAAATTTGGATTTTTTTTTTGAATTTCTTGATAATATGGTAACATAGGTGTAGCAGATTAAATTTACAAGAAATAAAACCCAGAAAAGATACAGTGGTTCTCAAAATTTTAGCAATTTTTTGAAGTAAAGTAACACGGTAACTAATTTAAAAAACGTAATATAAACGCAAATATGTACACTTATTAAGACCCAACCAGTATTAAAATCGTACAAAACAAACAAAAAAATTTGGTATTTGTACTAAATAGGTACTATAATTATTTTTATTGGAATAAATCTAGAGATATGTATTTTAAGAAATAGACAATTTAAATACTTTATTATTAATATTAAAAAATATTAGATATTTTCTTCTTTTAGTGGTAAATATCAAAAATACACACTATGAACAACATTTACTTACCATTGTATCCAGTATAAGGTACTCTCGATTCAACACCATCACCATAAACAAAACGATTCATTTTTACAAAGAAAAATAGTTTTTTTTCACCACAAAAAACACTAAAATTTAAACAAAAATAAACTCGAGGGCTAAAAAATTGATGCTCTTTGACGCACTCTTGACCTTGTCTAACGAAACTAGTCTTCCTGGACCTTAGCCGGCCCTTTTATGTCGAGCAGTACCATTAGAGACTTGGTACCTGCCCATGGCAGTTAGATAAGGGTCTCTATTGGTGGTACTGGCTCAATACAAGGGTAGGAAACGATTCTATTGGTCCAAGGGATATAATCCACTTGTGGTTTAGAGATAGAGGGTTCGAATTTTGTTTTGACGCACAAATTTTGTTTTATTTTTGAATTTTTTTGTTGTTTTAGGGGTCTGAAATGACTGAAAAACTATACTTATCGTATATAAAATTTTATATTCTGTTAGTATAATAATATGTCTTTCATTGATGTGAAATATTTGTAATTTTAAGGAATCTTGTCTAAAATTGTTGAAACAATACAGGTCTTTATTTAGCGTTAAAAAAGTACCGTATGATCGAAAAAAACGGCGTCCAGTTGGCTTGGAAATCAACATCGATGACATTTCCCATATAATTTTACATATAAATGACTGCGATCTTCATTTCATAGCCATCGCTGACGTCGTTTTTATTCGATCATACGGTATTAATAATTGTTTAAAACAACTGAATTTTATAGGAGATATAGAATGTTCAGCCATCTTTCAACGTCACGTCATACATTGTCGAACTCTCTCAATCACTTTTCAACCAGATGAAAGAGACTGGTGACGTCATTACGGCATTACGTAAATTACTGCATATTTTTTTTAGAAATTGTCACAGTAACTTGATTTGGGGTTATAATTTTATTGACGAACATCGATCAATGTCAAAATTAAACTTTGATTGTTGCTGTCTCAAACAGAATTCAAATTTTTTATTACAAAAATGCCTCAAAGATTTGACCAAAATGAACAAGAGCTCATTGCTAAGGTTATAAATTATTTTTCTCGAGAAAGAGACGCTGGTAGAACCTTAGATAAGGAAAGAGAGGGGACGGGTAACACGCATATTCTCCCGTGATCGGTTAGTGAGGCCAAAATTCGATCGGCGGCCATACTTTGGTGACACCGAGCGAATTTTTATGTTTTTTGTGACAACTGTTTTGTTTTAAATTTATAAACTGTGTTGTTTAGTATGGTGAGATGTTCAGTGTATGGCTGCAAAGGCCGAAGTGAGAAAAAAGTGGCTGGAATTACATTTCACAGGTAAAAATCGATACACAACTTTTGTTATGTGGTCATAAAATGTACATTTTTTTCATTATAGCAGTAAAAATATGTAAAATGCTTTTAATATGTCTTGTACCACATCCAAACCAAACTATTTTTAATAATTCCAAGTAGTATTTTCAATATCCTGTATTATAATTAATATTTGAAACTATAAATAATGCTACTCAGCTTGGATTTCTCCAGTGGCGTAGGGAATTATAATCAGAGAAATACAATTTCTGCAATAAACATTTTTTTTTATATATTTTACCTGTAAATTTATTTTTATTTTTTTTTGCCGTTAATTTCTGCAATAAACAGTTTTTTTTATATATTTTACATGTAAAAAAATGTATAAAGTATTGTTATCAAATATGTAAAATAATTGTAAACTATAAAAAAATGAAAAATTCTAGTAATAAAAAATCTATATGTATAGTTGTTATATAACACTTAAATTTACCTGCCAAGATTTGCTGGGGGTGGACAAACTTGTGGTGGGCTACTTGTTACTGCATACATATATTTTTTTAAATATTCTTTCAAAAAATTTGCTAATTTAAGTGTATAATAATAGTTTCAGTGAGTAATTAATAAAAATTTAAAAATAAATAAAATAACTCAAAGCTTCTAGAATTTTTTTATTTTTTTTGTGGATAAATTCGGATATTCTTAAAAATAGGATATTTTTATGATTGAAGGTAACAAACATTAAATCATTGAATCCGTACGCAAGTGTGAAGGGGAATGGCTAGATTCATTATTATACCGTATGGTCGAAAAAAAAACGACGTCCAGTTGGCTTGTAAATGACGATCGACGACATTTCTCATATAATTTTACATATAAAATGACAGCGATCTTCATTTCATCGCCATCGCTGACGCCGTCTTTTTTCGATGTCGTTTTGTATAGTTTTTATGTCATTTTATATGGAGAATTATATGGGGAATGTCATCGATCGTGATTTACAAGCCAACTGGACGTCGTTTTTTTTCGATTATACGGTGTAATAATGAATCTAGCCATTTCCCTTCACACTTGCTTACGGATTCAATGAATAATGTAATTTTTAATATTCATTTGTGAATTTGTCATTTCCAAACAAACAAGGCGCCGTTTTTTTCGATCATACAGTACATATGTATATACACGTTTAAAACATATGTTATTACATTATTTTTTATTTAATTATACATTATACACACGTTAATAAATAAATAATTGTCTTGATAATCAGTCCACTGTGACTGTTAAATAAACTTTGCATTATCGACTTAGATATAATTTACAACTTTTATTTTGTTAACAATTTCAATAGTTCAAAGTATTGGAATTAAAGGGATCGTAACTAATGAAGACATCAAGAAAAAATGAATAAATGCTGAAAAAAAAACTCGCTCAATCAATAATATAGGAACGTTCTTAAAATTTTCTAAACAATATGAACTGATCATATTTGACAAATAATGATGACGTAATGATGAACGATGACTGAAATTCTTCCAAACTGACTGATTTTTCCAAACCAAAATCAGAAATCGAGAACGGACAAATCCGGGAATCAAGGAAGCCATAGTATGGCTCCGTTGGTTCCAATTCATTGATTTGAAATAATAATTTAACAAAATTCTAATATTTTCAAAGTTGTGAGCGTAAATTAGCTAAAGGAACGATAGCTTCCAAGATTTACAAATAGCAGTAGAGAGTTAAGTTTCTCTAATATACAAAGAATTTATTAGTGGCTCCCAAAATAAAAAAGAGACAGAGAGCAGTATGCTTTTAATAATTCTTTAGTTTCTTTTATTATCAATCATGACCGACTAATAAATATGATCTTTTAATAAAAACTTGTAAATATTGTAGTAAATAGTGAAAATAAATATAGAGTGATATATATTTTTGAGAAGCTTATGGCAAGTCAGATCATATAATTTATTAATACATAGGGTGTTCCATTTAAGAAAACATAACTTTAGTTCATATCTTTAAAAATATTATTTTCGTAGAATAACAGACTAGGCCACTGTATTCTACGTAAAAAGTTCTAGAATAAAATTTTTTCATCCTCTCGATACCTTTAACAATAACAGAGATACAGGGGGTGTCCCAAATTGCAAAATTTTCGAAAAGACCCTGTAGCTCAGAAACGAAGAGGGCTATGAAAATTTTGTTTAGGCATTTTCCAGTTGACAAAAAAGTGGGACAGGTTTGTACAAACCGCATTCTTCTATCTTCACTAATAACGGAGATACCGTATGATTTTGATCAAAATGGGATACCCTGTACGGTACTGTGCAAAAATATTGTAAATTTTGTAATACTGCGTGGTTGATTAAAAATCAAGTAATCGAGGTATTTCTTAAAATCATTGTTTTTCCTTGACGAAAAATCATATTATGAAAGCAAATCAATATCGAAGATAGATACACTGACTGATGATGATGATGAATCATCAACAACATTAACAAACGTGCCTTTCAATCGATCCCAAGATGATTTAGCATTCAGAAAACCTATTTTTCGGACTTTGGACCCTGAAAGTTCTTCTTTTCTGCTTTTTGGTAAACAAGTCCATAAACTGTTAATTTGTTTGCGTGAATATTAGTATGACCGGTACTAATTTTCGTACTGTATTATCACCGAACAATAGAGATAGGACAATTTTCTAGTCCCTTATCAACCCTAATTGTAGTAAAATTGTAGAAAATATGATTGAGAAGGACATGAATCACTTTTGTTTGTTTATTTTTGGGCTGTACCTATAGTTAATAAATTTAAATCACCATACTGTCACAAATTAGCATAATATTGTGATATTGGTATATATTTAAATATTTGGTATTGGGTAATAAATTCATTGAAAACGATGTAAACAGAAATTTGGAGATGTTTTTGAAAATGAAACGTGAAAAGTTGACATATGATATGTCATTCTATTCGGAGTGTCATTTAAAAATCAACAGTTGTAGTCATTTCCGGTGAAACAGGAAGTGAACAAAAACAATTGAGTACGTCAATCAATCCTTTAAATTTATGTCATATACTAACATAACAAATTTCGATTTTTATCTGAAAAAATAAAAAAATTGTAGGGGTGAGCCACTTTTAAGACGCACCCGGTATAGAAATTTAATCATACTGTCCAGTAAGATTTTTGGAAAGATTGTTGCAAACTCGGGCTACACTCAAAGTTTACAATATTTTTTAAACATTTACTCATACATATGTAATGTGTACTAAAAATTCCGACTGCAGCGCTTCAACGGCAAAAATCAGAAGTTATCAGTACCTATGTCACGCCGCCGTCATTTTGATCGCATTAAAATAATATTGAAATCGTGGTTTTAGAGATATACTTCCCGAAATGTTAAGCATTTTTTGTCCCTTAGGCTTATGCCCACTTGCACCGTTTGTATAAACTTTGTTTAAAGGATAAACATTGATTAACTATACATATTTTATTGTAGTTAATCACTGTTTAGCCTTTAAACAAAGTTTATACAAACGGTGCAAGTGGGCATTAGTGTTTAAAAAAATAACTATTTTATTTTGTAGATCTTTCTTACAATACAAAGTGGCCAAATATCGCCAGGAGTTTTTTGAACAGTTTGTACTTTTATCAATAAGTATCGTGTACCAGCGACTTCGTTCGCGTCGAATTAATCATTTGTAATGGTGATGATAAAGCAGAGCAAGAATTTCCATTAACATACAAACTGGATAAAATTTTCTCACATTTATGTCAGAATGAGAAAAAACAATATGGCGATATTATTATATAACTTAGTAATATTTGAGGGGTAGTTTCATCTCGTTGGAATTTGACTTTGGAAAAATCCGTTTGCCAAAAATAAGCTTTTTACGTCAAGCAGTTTAAGCATGTAACGTAGGGTTCTGAAGACTGGTCAATATAAAACAACTACTTCAGGAAATATTAACCTTTTTATTTTCCACGCTGATGGTTGTAAGTGTGGTTTAGGAAAAGTTCTAAAATAAATTATAATTAATAGATAACCGAGCTAAGGGTTGTAAATCAATTTCTTACCTAACACCAGGTTTATACCCCAAAATAATCAGAATATAATATATTTGGTAATAAGTCGAAAACCAAAGGCTGTTAACACTTGTAGCGGTATAAATAAAATGGCGATCACCCGAATTCCATTATTGCAAAAAAGCGAAATTTATAAATTGAACTACCAGGGCCATCTATATATTTGTTTATAAGAAACCTAATGTTAACATACAGAAACCTAATTTAACATTATATTAAATTAATGTATTATATTTAATATTTCCCACATATTTTATAAATTTTGTTACAAGCAGAATCGTGGTTAAGAAATTACCCAACTTTTTGGAACACCCTGATTTTTTAAAAAAATTTAAAATATGTAAAAAAAAACAAATAAATTATGCTTGTCCAAGCGTTTTCCCGAAAGACTAACCGTTTTTTAAATAACAAATAATATTGTAATATTTGAGGGGCGTTTTCACCCTCTTGGAATTTGAGATTCGAGAAACCCCTCCTTATCGAACCTCTACACCCCACAGTCAATCCGTTTGCCAAAAATCAGCTTTAAGCAGAATCGTGATTACTCAATGGTCATATTTTATGAAACACCCTGTATAAATTTATAAAAAATCTTAAAATATGTAAAACAACAAAATAAAATATACGTGTTTAAGAGTTTTTCCGAAAAACTTACCGGTTTTTAAATAAAAAATATTTTAATATTTGAGGGATAGTTTCACCCCCTCAGAATTCGAGTTTCGAAAAATCCCTTCTTATCGAACCTCTACACCCTAAAGTCAATCTGTTTTCGAAAAATCAGCTTTTTACGTCAAGCGCTTTAAGCAGGATCGTGATTAATCAATGACCAGATTTTTCTAAACACCCTGTATACATTTTTAAAAAATCTTAAAATATGTAAAAAAAAAACAAAATAAAATATACGTGTTTAAGCGTTTTTTTCGGAAACTTTTTTAAATAAAAAATATTGTAATATTTGAGGGGTGGTTTCACCCCCTTGGAACTGGAATTTCGAAAAATCCCTTCTTATCGAACCTTTACACCCTAGAATCAACATGTATGACAAAATTGAGCTTCTTACGTTGAGTGGTTTGAGCAGGATCGTGATTAATCAGTGAGTCAGTCACTTAAGGATTTTAGGTATATTAGTATAGATAATCATTCTTATGTATTTGTTAATTATTTAGGGTAGAAAAGTAGAAATCTGTAAAACAATATTATCGCAAAAATCAAACAAACAAAACCAAGATTGCGGCCTGACGCCACCCGTAAAGTAGTTTTCGAGTTGACGCTAAGTACCCCAGTACTTAAAGGCATGTTTAAACAGTGCCGGCAGTACGGTCTTTATCTAGAACTGATAACAGAACGGGGGGCATTAAAAATGGCACGGTACTGTAATATCCAAACAAAACATTACAGTCTTTCAGATAATTTGCAATATTTTTTTTCTTCAAACTACAGGATGTTTCAAAGCAATGTGCCATTTCTCCTGGGGAGATTCCTCAAGTAAAATATTACATATTTTTTAGCTCGTACTTTTAAATAATTTATCTACGTCAGTGAGTTAAGAAGCTCTTAACTCACGCATTTTGAGTGAGTGAAGAGCTTCTTAACTCCCGCATTTTCATTACCGCACTCCTTGTTTAGATGACTACCAAAGAGAAAAAAATATTTTGTAAAACATTTATTTTGCACTAAATACCTACTAAATACAAATAAACTGTTCTATTGATAATAATTATAAAAACATGAAAACTTATTTATTATAAATGTTAATGATACAGTTTGAACAATCTTTCAAGTAAATGCCTGATGAAGCATATATTATATTCATTTTAATAGATATCATAGTACGTATCATTGAATAGAACGCCCAAAGAGACGAAGGCTTATATATAAGTTATGAGTACCTTTTCATTTCCATAGTGTTTTGTACTTTTTTTTTGGTGCACCATTTTTCATACATAGAGTTTGTATATTCATACTTCTGTTCAGGGCCTATTTTACCATAAGGCCCATAAGGCCCGGGCCCAATCTGGGGGGTCCGTTAAAGGTTGTAAAATATTCATTGTTACATTGTGGCCCGGTTGTCAAAATATACACCCAAACTCACAAGAGAAATTTTGAATTTTATTGGAAAAGAGGGCCCGAATTTTTACTTGGGCCTTAGGGCCCGACCAGATGAAAAATAGGCCCTGCTTCTGTTTCGATCTTGCCGGAAGCAATCCAGAAATGGCTCTGAATGCCTCTTCTTCAATGTCAAAGGGAATACTTTCCGAATCGGTCATTTTTTAAACTAGTGACATCAATATTATTAACTAGTGATATCAATATTATAATTTAAAATATCAGAGATATCCTCATAAAAATTAGAATTCAAAATTATCAGGTGCCCATATTAGTCGAAGTCGTGGTTCCATTTTGACTTTGACAACTCAATTATTGATGTTCAATTTTGTGTTAAACGTTCAGTTTTAGCAAAAAGAAAAAAATAATATTAATCTGGGTGATTCTGATTCTGAAAGTGTCCCTTCGGATATTGAAGGCATTGCGCAAAACGTTGTCGACTCCCAACTTCCCGAAAAATCAAGACAAACGTACGAGCAAGCCTATGTAAAACTTGAAGATTGGTGTAAAGGGAAAGGAATCAAGAATAGTAGTAACGAAAATGTTCTCCTGGCATATTTTGAACATCTTTCAAAACATAGGAAGGCTTCATCACTTTGGGTATATTATTCCATGCTACGTTCAGTTATATTAGTGAAGAAAAATACAGATATTAGTAAGTACGTCCATTTAATTGCATTTCTAAAAAGAAAATCCAGACGTAACATCGTTTTTTGTTGGAAGCTGATGATAAAACTTATTTCCTGACAAAAGTTTCATTGATAGTGGGACTTGCGGGAACCTGCCGGCGTATCGAGTTGACAAATCTGCAGCTGCAAAATGTTAAAGATGAAGGACAATGCATTCATGTCATTATTCCGTTTACGAAAACAAAGATATCACGAGATTTTTTTATAACGAAAGGGAACGTTGAAGGAATAAATATGGTGGAAATGGTTCGAAGATATATAGCTATTCGGCCAAGCAACACAGAGCATACTCGATTTTTTGTGGGGTACAGAAATGGAAAATGTATTAAGCAACCCGTTGTTGGCATTAATACTTTAGGGAAAATGGCCGTATAAAATAGCATTGTTCCTAAGTCTTCCAAATCCACAACAATACACTGGATAGTGTTTCCGTAGATCGTCTGCGTCGTTGCTTGCAGATTCAGGAGTGGATTTATTAACTGTTAAAAGACATGGTGGTTGGCGCTCTACCACAGTGGCAGAGAGCTATATAGAAAATTCCAAAAAAAATAAGAAAAAAGTGTCATGTAATATTTTGGGTAACATTTCTGGCAATGATGGGTCTTCAACAAGTTCAAGCACTCAGGAAATAAATTTACTTTCTAAAAATTCAAATCACCTGTCATCGTCTGGAATTAATTTAACCAATTGTACTGATATTTTAATTAATGTTTACAATAAATAAACGTATTTAGGTACCTTTTTTTGCTTGTTTCTTATTTTAAAATTTGCGTGTTATTATGAATTCATAATAGCACTAGTGCTATTATGAAAGCCATAATGACATCCAAATGACAATCTTAAATGTGTCATAAAGAGAGACATTGTCGTAGATTAAAAAAATAATGCAATACTAATTTGGTATAAATATTTTTTTTATTTTAATATACATATTGTCCTATAAATTTACACCTCTAGCTTCCAGTTCCTTCTTGTCCAAAGAATGCTGTAAATTGGCATCTCTCCTCTTAAGATCTGTCTTGACAAACATTATGAAAATTGCACACACTACATATAAAATGCATGTTACGACAAAAGTCCAAAAATATCCTATGGAAGAATATAGGCCTTCCATAACATAGGTGAATATGACAGCTAAAACGTAGTATGACGTGTTAAACAGTGAAGAACTGCACGCCTCTGGAATGGGGTAGGTGATTTCTACTAAGTATTCGAAGCCCACTATCAGTACTGGAGCTACAAAAAACCTAAAATAAAAAACGAAATATATTGTATGTCAAAACGTATGGGAATCCCATGTAAATTTTAAGGGTGGTGTTTATTGTAACCCCTATTGGTTTGCGATTCCATCGCTCGTGAATTAATCTTTTCGGTCGACGATAAAATACCATTTTATCGTCTTCTATAAAAAATAACTACACTCACCGGCAAAAAAAACGGTCACTAAAAACTAGTCCCAATTTCAGAGTTGGATTTCTCGCGAACCACTCATCAGATTTTGGTGATTTTTTTTTAAATTGTAAATTAATTCCTTCTTAACGCATGCTACTTCAGAAATTTTTAGTCCGAATTTATTTTGAGCATATACAGGGCACAACAATAAGACGAAGTTTTTTGCTCAAACTTTGTGACACCCTGTACGGTGCAGCAGCTGTAGTAGCTATTGCTAAATCAAATGACATTGTAGCCTCATCTTTTGTGAATATTTTATATTGTAATTATTATATAATTTTGCAGGCAAAACCGCGACCAAACCAATTCACATCGCACGCGCAAACTGAAGACGTGCTCAACGATGTCTTGGAAGTAGCTGGGGTCCTGTGGCAGGCCTCCTTGCAGACAAGCTGTTTTCTTTTCGTCTTCGTTGGATTGTTCTCTCACTGACTTGAGTTCTACGTACGGCTTGTAGCAGATGTTGATTCTGAAACGCTGTAATTCTACGATTTCGTAAAGTATTCAGGACAATAAAGCGGTCGTCGATTGCATTTTTTTTCCGTTTTCTTCCGGAATCCACTCGCCTGGTGAAATTTCCCGTTTCTATATATACAACGATTCCAGGCATCCTGGACTGTTGTTCGAGGTATGCCCAGGATATTGGACACATAACGTTGACTTCGGCCATCCTCAATTAAAGCCACAATACTAGCAACACCCGTTACAGATAATGGCATTTTTTAATTTGACAACCGTTGTTGTCATATTGCAAATACTCATAAATCCGTTTTCGCCTATGTCACCTTGATTATTTACACATAAAACTTTCTGCCTGCGAAGCATTTTTCCGAGACGTTCGTTTAAAGCAGCGTATCTCCAACAAAAAGAGAGCTAATGTCGTGATTAAAAAAACAAAATGCTCACAAAAGATGGGCTACAATGTGATTTGATTTAGCAATAGCTACTACGCTGCTGTACCCTACAGGGTGTTACAAAGTTCGGGCAAAAAACTTCGTCTTGTTGTTGTGCCCTGTATATGCTTAAAATAAATTCGGAATAAAAATTTCGGACGTAGCATCCGTTAAGAAGGAATTAACTTACAATTTAAAAAACAAATCATCAAAATCTAATGAGTGGTTTGCGAGAAATCCAACTTTAAAATTGGGACTAGTTTTTAGTGGCCGGTTAGTTTATTTTAAACCTATCAATTTTGAAACTCTTTTGCTAAGCCGTTTTTAAATTATTTGCAAAATTAGGTGCTTAAAAAACTAATTTTTACAATAGTGAAACATTTCGGCCCGCAGTAATTTTTATGACATTCATATTGATACATTCTTGAAGCATTCAAGTCCAAATACTTATCCTTCATTAAAGAGTGGTTTAACTCAAATCACCTTTGTTTAAATTTATCCAAGACGCATGTTGTTGGGCTTAGGTGTGACATCGCAAATCTACATTTCGAGGGGGGTTTGCTTGCAGGAATTCCTGCGACTAGATTCCTAGGAATTATTATTGATAGAAATCTGCGATTTGAAGACCATATTCTGGCCTTAAGTGGCAAGTTGTCTTCTGGATGCTTTGCTGTTAGGGCAATTAAGGAAGAACTAGGTTCACGAGTGGCAAGGACGGTCTATTTTAGTTTGTTTGAGTCTCACCCACGGTATGGAATACCATTCTGGGGTGTGGCTAATCAGGGTCTACTAAACATTCTTTTTATTTTACAAAAAAAGGCCGTACGATTTATTGTAAATGTACCACTTAACGAATCCTGTAGACAACACTTCAAAGCTCAAAAAATTCTTACACTACCATGTCTTTTTATTCTGGAAACATCATCCCTTATTTTTAAAAATCGTATCAGACTACAGGGTCCTATACCCAATATTGTTACCCGCCAAACCCTGAATCTGCCCTTACCACTTCCAAATAGCACATTGGTCAAAAGATCTATAATATATGAGGGCCGAAAGATCTTTAATCATCTGCCGGTTCCTTTAAGATTGGTTAATTCCATAAAAACCTTCCGGAGACTACTGAAAAGGGAACTTTTAAATAGGGCATTTTACAGCGTTGACGAATTCTACCGGGGCTCCCTTGATATTAGTGTTTAGAGTCTAGAATTGCTTGTTAGTCTGACTTATTCTTTTTAGCGTTATTGTTAATTTTCTCTTTATTCTGTATATTGTATATGTTATTTTACTTAATTGTTTACACCTATTTTTCTGAATACTGTTTGTTGTTTAAATGGATGTATTTCTATCTTATTTACACAATTTTTTTTTATTTTAGGTTTAGATTTAGGAATATTTATGCTTTGTTAACAAAAATTTGTATATTTCTTAAACAATAAAGTACTTTTGAAATTGAAAAATTGAAAATAATCCAAGAATATAGGCCTTGAAGTACGAAGTTTTGGTAAAAACTTCAATTTTTGATATAAGGTTACTTTGAAAGATCTAAAAACTAATCGTGAAAGATTTTTTTTTAGTTCACTCCCGAGAAGGGGTGAAATAATAGTTATTTTTTATACAAAACGATAAAATGGTATTTTATCATCGACCGAAAAGATTAATGTGATTGAATTAATTTCGGGAGACAATAATGCAATTTTATCGTCGTGTATAAAACAATATTTTTTTCCATAGCGAGTTCCGTTATAAAAAATATTCAGAAATTATTATTTCAAGGAATTTATTACGAGTAGAAAAAATATTGTGCTGGGTTGGCATTGGTTTCTATGTAATTTGACAAATAAATAAAGCTGTCTTTTTACAGGACCGTCCTGAGGGGTGGAGCAGAGGAACAGTTGCTCCAGGCGGCCAAATTTGATGGCGGCCGTTTCGGTACAATTGTACTGAATTCGGTACATTTTGACCAAATTCGGTCCGATCAATGGTCATTTTCGTTACGAAATTTCCAACAGTATAAAAGCAACTAGTAAACTGCTTCAGAATGAGAAACTCGACAACATTGGGTCCACAAAAGCTCCAGAAGCTATCGACGACTATTTTGTCAAAATAAGGAGTGACGACCATTTTAGAGAAATATTAGTGGATGCTGCAGAGCTGGCAGACGAGCTGGAAATTGAAGCAGTTTTTACTAATGACATTAGAGCTTGTCCCAGAAGAAAAATAGGCAGTTTTTGTATGAATCAGTGGATGAGCCAATTTTATATCCACAGGAAAAGTTTAAAATCGAATTTTTCTTTGTTGTCCTGTATCCAGGATCCATGAGGCTAAATGAAATTTAAATGCTAATTCTGAGAATCCTGCAATATTTATTTCCTTTTTTCGGAAAGAGCGTTTGATAATATTTCTTACCATATCTGGCGCAACTTTCATAATTTTTTTTTCACACTTGATTCTTCGGAGCAAATTTCGCACTAATAAAAAAAAACGATTGTCTGTAGGGGGCGCATTTTTTTTGGGCTTGCAGAAATGGCTCAAAACGAAATAAGTAAATTACCAACAGATATACGGGCGGAGGCGACAAACGCCATATCCAACTACTACTTCCATTTAAATCCCGAATAACTTATGAAAAGGAATACAAAAATTTTCAAAAATGGAAGCAATTAAAAAAACGTGCGAGAAGAAATAAAGTTTTTAACCTATCCTCCAAGTATCATTTAATCTATCCTTGCTGTTAAAGTACTATTTTATCTACTATTTTTGATAGATCTAAGGCAGTTTTAACAGTTGCTATGGAAAAAACAAATATTTTGTAAAAAACTATCATTATTACATCTTTCCCATATCTTTCCATCATTTTACAACAAAAACGACTTTCTCGTTCAATGTCATAAATTTGTTTTTAAAAAAAAAAATTTTTAAATAATTTAAAAAAACGGCTCAGCGGAAGAGTTTCAAAGTTGATAGGTAGCCTAATCAAATCCAATACTTTAAAAATTTCCATTAAAAGTTTGTTCTAAAATCAATAAGGAAGCCAATAAGCAGATGCATAACCCAGTACAGTGGTTAGATTCCGAAATTTTCCACTTAAAAGTCAAGTCTTGACTAGATTAAATTAATGAATTATTTTGAGATTAGATAAAAAAATAATTTCTCACCCAAACGCTGTGATAGAGATGTAACTTCCTATTCTACTTTCGAGCATCAGCGATACCACAACGCACAGGTATGATATGGCGGAAAAGATTAGTATAAAAACGCTGATTAACCTGAAAATTAAATTCTATTAATTAATATTGAATTTATTGAATTGGGTGGATTTTATAAAAAAAATACTTACTTAAACCTATGCGTCTTGTCCAGAACGATTCCAAACAGCATGCTGGCTAAACAGCCTCCGGAGAAGATTGACAATAGACCTAGGATACCTGAGTCGTGTTCTCCATTCTGTAGAAAAAACAGAAATAAATCTTTATTTTGAAGGAAATCAGGAGCATGATTTGTAGATTTTTCAAAAAAAAATGACCTAATGACATATATTAACATTTCATTTCACTAGTCTGCAAAAGTAGCATAATATGTAAAAATGGCTAGGTATTTTTACACAAATGAGGAAGGAAATTAAAGATAAAGGATCATACTACACACACCGGAAAAATCTAGGGATATCATTTTATTAAAGTTAAAAATAAATGTTTTGAATAAACAACCACATATTTGTAGGCCGATTTTTTCTACTTCGATTGAAACGAAGTAGTCACACTAGTTATTTCTAAATTTGGGATATTTGCAGAAGTGTTTGGGCATTTTTTGTCAAATGTATAAAAAGCACCTAGCATCAGTTGTTCGAATTTAACCTGTACTGGCTATGTTTTTATGATAACTGGCCAGAATTCATTCAAATAACTCTGTTTAGTATTGAACGACATTATGGAGCGTAGACATCTTAACAGAGACGAAATGCTAAAGGCCATGGGTATGCTCGAAGCTGGAATGCGCCAAATCGACGTAGTTAGAGCATTAAATACAACGCAAAGTGTAACATCGCGATTAAGTGCACGCTACCATGAAAGTGGTAATGTTGCTAAAAGGCACACAGGGCCACATCGCATTACTACCCCTCAGCAAGATCATTTTTACAATTAAATGCTCGACGCCGACCGACTCTTACAGCACCAGAGCTTAGTTTAATTCTCCAGGAAAGACATAATGTAACCGTTAGTCCTGACACTGTTCGCAATAGATTAAGAGAGGTCAACTTAAGAAGCAGACGCCCCTGGAGAGCTCAACCCTTAACGAGAGGAAATCGAGAGGTACGATATTTGTGGGCTCAAGATCATGTTCAGTGGTCGAATGAACAATGGGCCAATGTTCTCTTCACGGATAAGTCACGCTTTGGAATTCATCCGGATTCGAGAAGGCTTAGGGTATGGAGAGAACCGGGAAATCTTATTCGGTTGGATCATGTTCAGGAAGTGCACCCTTATCAAGGTGGAACAGTTATGGTCTGGGGAGGAGTCCAGTTAGGCCGAAAAACCGATCTCGTTTTTCTTGAAAGGTTTCTAACAGGAATCGCACATCGTGATTTAATTCTTGAGCCTCGTGTTACCATATGCCAATGATTTTGGGAGAAACTTCATTCTCATGCATGACAATGCACGGCCTCATACAGCCAGATTGGTAAGTGAGTTTATCAATGCTCATCAATTAAACATCTTACCCTGGCCGGCACAATCTCCGGACCTCAACACCATCGAGCACGTATGGGACGCGGTCCAAAGAAGAATTTTGAGAATACGTATGCCTCGTGAAACTCGTAGGGATCTGGTTCGGGCCGTGAATGCAGCGTGGCAGGCTGTACCTCAAGATGAGATCGATAACCTGATCAGGAGCATGGAGAGACGATGTAGGGCTGTAATGAACAGTGGAGGAGGCTATACCCTTTATTAAGTAAAAATGGTTTTATCTTTTTTTTTAATTCACAGTTTAGAATAAAAAAAAATGTGTGTATTTTTGTTAGTTCAATAAAAATCAAGGGAAATTTGAAAAATTTGGTAAATTTCGTAAACTATTTGTTTATTTTAATTTTATTATATCAGAAATGCAAATAATAAAATTACTAACGATGGCTGGATAAAATTGTAATATCCCTAGACTTTTCCGGTGTGTGTATATCTGTATTTCAGCACATTTTTAGACAACTTCTATATTTTTAAGATTTTGATGGTCAAACATCAAGAAAATATTCCTTATGTTTGAACTAAATTTTCTCGAAAATAAAGCCATAATTTAAAATTCCGTTACAATACGGAAATAGATTGAAGTTTTGTGATTACAGTGATATATAATTTATATGGTTTTGTAACAAATTGCTCGCTATTTTATGGCAAATGCTGAAGCTCTGCAAACCTTAATTAAGCCTTAATCAAAGCACGTGTGTTTGGAATTTTGGGTGTGGCTTAACACGACAGGATCGGGCTAAGCCTTAAGCATATTTCTGAAATATAATATATATTTCCTTCGGCCACACACCCGCTTTACCCGACCCCTGAGAGCGACCCGAACAGTACAGCGTAATAGACTTTTAAATATTAATTTTTATTTATAGAAAAACGAGATACAAAACAATGATTCCACTGAATGAACACGTTTTTTTTATAAGATAACGCTTCAAAGTCTCAAAAAAATGTATCTACTTTAAAAAACTTACTGGAAAATAATGTATGTAGACCATATTAAGTTGTACTCCAAAAACACTCCACAGGCCATTTGCAAAACCCAATGAAAACACTACCAACCAAAAATTCTTGTTCCTGATCACTTCCTTCATGTCTTCGAAGAAAGTCAATGTTGCCATTTCATTTTTAATCATTAAATTGAGCTGCGATTGGCTAGGAGGCAGTGCTGGTTTGGACCTGAAAACTTCAGCAAATTCGTAAGAATAAAATATATTTTAAACACTCAGTAGAACGAGGAAGATGCATATATTTTATTTTTCGCCAGAAACTGTTCAGTTTATTAGAATAAATATGTGTAAATGCAAAAAAACACTTTTTTCTTGAAAGCAATACCACAATTTTATAAAACGGGCCATTAAAATACTATGGATAAAGCAAACGACGCCTCGCGAGTTGAAACGATATTCTATTGGTCTGACGTCACCCGCCGTTCTCGTCGACGCGCGATGGCCAGCAGTAGCCAGACGTGTTCCGTTTATGTACGTATTTAGGTGGCGTACTAAGACATTTTTGTTGCTTTTAGCGTTGATTGAAAGAGCTTTTTTGTGCAGTTATTATTTGTATGTGTTGTGTGTTCTGAGAATTTTTAAGTAATGGCAGATTCCGGGTTTGTAAAAGCACAATCAGATAACTTGCCAAAAGTCGATGCTTTTATGTTGGCTGCTTTTATAAATACATATTCCCAATTTATTGGTGCTGAATTAGGAGGAAAAAAACAGAGAGGTATGTAACATTTATTCTTTGTAGTACTGAGGCATATTTAAGTATAAGTAGATACCTACTGTTACGAACTTTTATATAGTTATAAATTAATGTTATAAACTTATTTTTTAGATCAGGTAGGGAGACGTATGGAGATAATCCTGTAGGTTATGTAGAAGTGAAAAGAGACAAAAATATTTGTTTAGTACGTGGAAAAATAACTCCAGAGCATAGCGTGAAAAAGAAAGTTTTTTTTTATATATTGACACCCCCTTGCCCTTGTTATTTTTAAAGATTTTTTTTACGAAATTATAGGAAATAAATTGTTTATCAGTAATGAAAATATTATACAAGGTGTCCCATAAGCAAACGCCAAAATTAAGTTACTTTTTTAAGTGAACCACCCTATATATTTTTGGATTCTTCGGAAATTTCTAGATATTCTAGATATATTTCATGTATAATATCCTATACCTATCTTCAAATGTTTACGAAATATTGACAGTTGAAAAGCGAAAAATACCTACAATTTTCTGCACCACCTTTTTTGAGACACCCTGTATAACTAGAATTAATTTTAAAAGAGAGTATATGAAAAACCAGGCAACTTTTTTATTTAATGTTTTCTTCTAAAACTTGCAGTTAAGACTGTATGTGGGTGTCAAAATATAATGAATAACCCTGTACATTCAAATTTCATATACCTATGTAAGACAATATACATAAATATATGAACTTACATCAAAATGATTTTCACAACAATAAATCGTATAAATAGAGGATAATTTAACCTTTTTCTTTTCATCTCTTCTCATGGCATTGGACAATTTTTTTCTGTTTTCGCTCATCCATTACTATTTATAAATATCACTAATTACTAATTATGTATTAATTAACACAAATAACTAAAATTTTGACTCGGATTCAACACCGTTTAAAAGCAAACTGTGTAAAGTAAACACGCGTCTGGCTCCACTCAACCAGAAGAACGGCGGGTGACGTCACAGCGGAAAGGCGCGGTAGAGAGCGTTTACCCGGCCATTTAAATTAACAATATTTAATTATTTTATATTAGAGGCATTTTTTAACCGATATCAACGATTTTTTTTGTTCAGTTTGTAATTATATGAACTATTTTTTAAAACCATTATTTAAAAACATGCATTTTCCTCATTTGTACATCAACTTACATAGGATGACTAGAACGAATGTGACTATAGTTGCTATGGCTTGATATAGAAACATATGGAAGAGCTGGGTTTCTGTGTTGGGTCCATCTTTGACCAGGTAAGGTGACTGGATACAGCTAATACCACTACCTGTTGAAAACATATACATACAGGATGTTTTAAAAAACATGTGCCATCTCACGTGGTGAGATTCCTAACGTAAAAATAAGATTTTTTTTTTCATATCAACATAGGCCCGATTCTGCTTTGTTTCTTAGCTAGTGGTTTTGGTGATTCAAATGAAATTTTGAGGGTAAAATTTACTAGAGTGCTACATATTCTAATGCTAAAAAAGTGTCGATAGATTTTTTTCCGAAAAAAATTCGTACATTTTTTATTTTATTGGTTTTATGGAAAGCACTGTTCATTAAAATTTGTATCCTATGTTATAGGGCTTGTTTCTCTCTACAATTTCCTGTCTCACAATGTACCGTTTGTGTCGGGGAACGGACCATAGTTTCATAGTTGTCGATTTTCGAAAGAAATCAGTACATGTCTATTATTTCGTATATTTTTCATTTTATTCATTTTATGGAAAGCACTGTTCATTAAAACGTTGTATCCTATGTTATAGGGCTTGTTTCTCTCTACAATTTCCTGTCTCAAAATGTACCGTTTGTGTCGGGGAACGGATCATAGTTTCATAGTTGTCGATTTTCGAAAGAAATCAGAACATGTATATTATTTCGTATATTCTTCATTTTATTGATTTTATGGAAAGCACTGTTCATTAAAATGTTGTATCCTATGTTATAAGGCATGTTTCTCTCTACAATTTCCTGTCTCACAATGTACCGTTTGTGTCCAGGAAGGGTTCATAGTTTCATAGATGTCGATTTTCGAAAGAAATCAGTACATGTATATTATTTCGTATATTCTTCATTTTATTCATTTTATGGAAAGTACTGTTCATTAAAATGTTGTATCCTGTGTTATAGGGCTTGTTTCTCTCTACAATTTCCTGTCTCACAATGTACCGTTTGTGTCGGGGAACGGATCATAGTTTCATAGATGTCGATTTTCGAAAGAAATCAGTACATGTATATTATTTCGTATATTTTTCATTTTGTGGAAAGCAATGTTCATGAAAATGTTGTATCCATGTTATATTTCTCTCTACAATTTCCTGTCTCACAATGTACCGTTTGTGTCGGGGAACGGATCATAGTTTCATAGATGTCGATTTTCGAAAGAAATCAGAACATGTATATTATTTCGTATATTCTTCATTTTATTCATTTTATGGAAAGCACTGTTCATTAAAATGTTGTATCCTGTGTTATAGGGCTTGTTTCTTTCTCTCTACAATTTCCTGTCTCGCAATGTACTGTTTGTGTCGGGGAAGGGATCATAGTTTCATAGTTGTCGCCAATAAAAATATCTCCAATAGTTAGGTGAATCAAACGATCGAGAAAAGATACACTTTCATGATAGAGTGATTTTTAAATCCCTTATTTTGTTAATCTAATCTACAGGGTGTGGACAATTTGTACGCTAGACACATATGAACTAAAAATCATAAACTAACACAAAAAACACTAAGTTATACCTAACTGTATCCCTAAAACTCCGATAGCACAAGCAGTTGATACTTCTTCGGAACCAAACCAAGACGTAGCTATTTTCGTTGGGACACTGCATATATAAACTTGACCGATGGCTATCAAGGTCTGAGCCAAAAGTATGATCCAAAATCTGTCTTGATTCGCTGCCAAGAGCTTCAGCAAATTGCCAAGCAGTGTCAGGATCATCGCACATATCATTGAGTGTTTTAAAGTCTAGAAAAGGATAAAAGTTTGAATGATTCGAGGTCACTCTGTATATAAGAAATGAGGATAATAAGACTTACGTTCTTTTCTATAAGGTAGCTGATAGGGTAGAAGAAAATGATATAAGCAATGAAGAAAATCACACATGTCAAATCGACTAAAAATTCACCAACTTTGTAGTATCTAAAAAAAAAGTTAGAGCTAATTAATAAAAAATATTGCCATTATATTAAAATACTGAGAAAAAATTAACAAAATCAGAATGCAGTCTCTGATTGACAAGTATCGTCTTCCTCTATTCTGTTGTTTGAAAAACAATTATTTATTACAAAGAACAACTACTTACTTGATAATTATATTAGCTATAATCGAGAATTCTAAAGTCTGTAGGAAGCTTATCATACAAACTAGCACATATAAACCCAATACAATCCATCTGTATTTGTAAACTTTAATCTGCGTGCCAGTTTTCTGCACTGTCTCTGTCTCTTCAGCAAGGCTGTTTTCCATGCTTATGTGTATTTCGGAAAATATTTACACTATGAATTGTTTGTTGTGGTCGTGAAGATATTTATATATGTTTTCAACTCTCTTGTAACACTGCATTTAATTAATCAAAATGTAGTTATCTTTCTTTAAAAATCGATTAATTGAAATTTGAGCACTTGAAATTACAATATATGTTTAAGTAGAATGTAGATAGTATTATGTTAATATTAACATACATTTATATAGGGGCACTCAAAAAGAAACTAAGAAACTAATAAAGCAATATCTAAATTATACATTCAAAAAATTTAGGATTTTGTTTATGTTAAATTATTATTTATTTATAAAAATACTAGCGTGTACCAGCGACTTCGTTCGCGTCGAATTAATCATTTGTTATGGTGATGATAAAGAAAAGTAAGAATTTCCATTAACATACAAACTGGATAAAATTTTCTCACATTTATGTCAGCATGAGAAAAAACAATATGGGGATATTATTATATAACTTGGTAATATATGTTTTTTTTATTCTTTTCTTTGACCTCTCAATATATATTTTATTTAATTTTTTCTTGGCTTTAGGTCCGGTAAACAATGAGAAAAACGGTTTTTTTTATATTATAAATTTCATTGACGTTTCGACCTGGTAGGGTCTTTATCAAAATTTATTACTTGAAAGTAGATTTCGGCGCATTGTTTTAGTTTTTATTTTAATTTCTATTGTTTTCTTTTTACAATTTTATGGAAAGGTACTATTTTATGGAAAGGTACTATATATTATACTTGGTAATATTTGAGGGGTAGTTTCATCTCGTTGGAATTTGACTTTCGAAAAATCCGTTTGCCAAAAATAAGCTTTTTACGTCAAGCAGTTTAAGTAGAATAGTGGTTAAGAAATTACCCAATTTTTTGGAACACCCTGTATGATTTTTTAAAAAATTTCAAAATATGTAAAAAAAAACAAATAAATTATGCTTATCCAAGCGTTTTTCCGAAAGACTAACCGTTTTTTAAATAATAAATATTGTAATATTTGAGGGGCGTTTTCACCCTCTTGAAATTTGAGATTCGAGATACCCCTCCTTATCGAACCTCTACACCCCACAGTCAATCCGTTTGCCAAAAATCAGCTTTAAACGTCAAGCAGTTTAAGCAGAATCGTGGTTACTCAATGGTCATATTTTATGAAACACCCTGTATAAATTTATAAAAAATCTTAAAATATGTAAAACAACAAAATAAAATATACGTGTTTAAGAGTTTTTCCGAAAAACTCACCGGTTTTTAAATAAAAAATATTTTAATATTTGAGGGATAGTTTCACCCCCTTAGAATTCGAGTTTCGAAAGATCCCTTCTTATCGAACCTCTACACCCTAAAGTCAATCTGTTTTCCAAAAATCAGCTTTTTACGTCTAGCGCTTTAAGCAGGATCGTGATTAATCAATGAACAGATTTTTGAAACACTGTATACATTTTTAAAAAATCCTAAAATATGTAAAAAAACGTAATAAAATACACGCGTTTAAGCGTTTTTTCGGAAACTTGACCGTTTTTTAAATAAAAAATATTGTAATATTTGATGGGTGGTTTCACCCTCTTGGAACTGGAATTTCGAAAAATCCCTTCTTATCGAACCTCTACACCCTGGAATCAACCTGTATGCCAAAATTGAGCTTCTTACGTTGAGTGGTTTGAGCAGGATCGTGATTAATCAGTATGTCAGTCACTTAAGGATTTTATATATTAGTAAGTATAGATAATTGAAAAAGGTATTAATATTATTGTATCATTCTTTCTTGAGTTTACTCAACAAAGAGTCTCAGCTAGAGCTTTGACAAAAGCCAGTATCTGAGACGGTTTTACAGATGTTACTTCTCAGGTTTATGGCACGAATGGTTGTCATCTCGGGGCACTCAGTGACGAGGTGTTCTGGTGTTTCCCCATTTTCTCCACAGAATCTGTATTTGCCGTTAGTTCTTAGATTGATACTACTGAAGTGCTCATTGAGGAGACAGTGTCCTGTCAAAAACCTCGTCATAATCCGAAGATTGTTCTTACTTAAATTTTTCTTCTTGCTGTAATTGATAAAACTCTTCAATCCATCTTACCTCACAGGTAAAACTTAATGTGTAGTAAGGGCTTTACTAGAAAAAAAATTCTCCAAAACAAGACATGCTATTTTACTGTTTTTTTTTTGTATTTTTTGACTCACCCTTTATTTTTTAATTTGAATACTTTTCCTTAAGTACTATTTTATCTGTAATTTGGTACTCCAAAAAATAGCTAGCTACTTTAAATGATTACGTTTTCTTAAACAATAACAACATTTCAGCTGTTTTTCGTATTATTGTAGTAGGTACACGTCAGTTTTATATACCTATTGCACAAACGTGATAATAGTAAATTATGATTATTGTAATTATTCAGAGTACTTCTTTGGTATACTTGATTTAATAAAAAAAAAACAATTCCACAATGAGTTTTATCACTAATAAATGCACTTGAAAAAATCTAGCTACTCTAAGTCATGATTTGTTAACCAAAAAGTTGTTTATTTTGATTTTCTTTAGTACCGGGTGGCCAACTAAGAATGGACGCCGGCTGTATCTCAGAAACTACTTATCGTATAACTTCTAATAAATAAATCGACCAAGAGAAATCGCTGGAAATTATTTTCCAGTTCGAAAAATGTCCGCTAGGGGACGTTTCTCTAATAGCCAATCAGAAAACAGGATTTTTCTCAAATATATGCAGGTGAACAGGTATTTTAAATATTACTGTTGTAATCATCGAGAAATTTGTAATTTTTTTGATATAGAGTATTTTGCTCTATCTCATAAAATAAAGTGGTGGGGGAGGGTTAAACTTGCTTTTATTAAAATAAGGATAATTCAGGTTTGGGTTATGCGATTTAAACAAACTAGGGCTCATTTAAAAGAGCTTTTCTTCCTTAATGATCTCCAGTATAAATTTTGTTTCCACAATTTTTTTCGTGGTAGCTAGAGGGCGCTGTTTGACATCATAACAGATATTGCACTACACACCAACTGCATTCATGCTGATGAATTTGCAACAAATGCAATTTCATCATGATGGATCCTCTAACAAAATTGGCAATTAATTTGTTAGAAATTATGAATAGTTGTATTTCTTTCAGATAATTAAAAAAGTCCAGTCGTTCGCCATCCTAGAATTCCTGCGTAAACATTGACCGATCAACGGTCTTGGTGCTAAACTACTTGCATCGAGGGTAAATTTGGACCAGGAGTGCATATTGTTAAGATTCGCACCTTCGTTCAATGTTATATGAAAAGTGGCCCAAACGACATAAACTTTATAATATAATAATAAATAACACAAAAAAAAACAGGTAAAACACGAAAACAAGTGAAATCAAGGACAAACTTGGATTAATAACTAAATGACGTTACATGAAATAAACCCCTAGTTTTCGACCATACGAAATTCGGCCGTTTTCTGTTAAAAGCAATATGGCGGCACAAAATTCCTAGAAATTTTAATAAAATTATTGATTGTCCGACTTTCAGACATTTTAATCTGAGAACTACTTACGTATAATTAACCAAGAAATTCGTAAAAAATTTATGGATGGATGATAATGTTACATAAACACGTTTAAATAATTATGACATCATTTTTTTAAGAAAACGCCGGAAATTCGGATGCATAAAAACTGAACTTGAACGTTTTGATATTTCACGTAACCAATTTACCTCTTTTTGTTTCCTAGCCTACTACTATAATTTTTAGACCATATAATCCTAAGCGGGCAGCCTAACATGATTTGTTCTCTTAATATCTCCGGTTAGAGAGCAGATAGAAAGTTGCGGTTTGCGCTGATATTTCGGAAATTGTGCTCTATTTAACTGTGTAAAGAGAAATATAGCCTCCTATTTAAATTTTTTACGCAAAAGTGCAATATCTGTTATGATGTCAAACAGCGCCCTCTAGCTACCACGAAAAAAATTGTGGAAACAAAATTTATACTGGAGATCATTAACGAAGAAACGTTATTTTAAACGAGCCCTAGTTTGTTTAAATCGCGTAACTCAAACCAGAGTTATCCTTATTTTAATAAAAGCAAATTTAACCTTCCCCCACCACTTTATTTTATGAGATAGAGCAAAATACACTATATCAAAAAAATTACAAATTTCTCGATGATTACAACAGTAATATTTAAAATACCTGTTCACCTGCATATTTTTGAGAAAAATCCTGTTTTCTGATTCTATTAGAAAGGAGGCTATTAGGCTATGGGGCTATTAGAAAAACGCCCCCTAGCGGGCATTTCTCGAACTTGAAAATAATTTCCAGCGATTTCTCTTGGTCGATTTACTTATTAGAATTTGTTTCCCAAAGTTATACGATAAGTAGTTTCTGAGATACAGCCGGCGTCCATTCTTAGTTGGCCACCCAGTACACGTCAGTTATACATGCGAAGTGCATAAAATATAGAGGAAAAAATTGGCGCCGGGAGGAAAATATGTTAATAAAAAGTTTGTAGACAGTTCTTTTAGTTTTAAAGTAAAGAAAATCTTTCAATTTTTTTTATCTCAAAAACTGCGACTTTGGCTGATTTTGATGATATTACAAATTTTGTTGCAAATATTATTCCTAATCTTAAACTAAAAACCGCGTTTCGCTAGCTACTGTAATTTTGGAGTTACGATTTTTTAAAATTTTTAACCCCCTCCCATACACCCTTACCAACCCCCCTCCCCCACCAGAAACTAATGGCTAGATTATCGGGTGCCACAGTATTTTTGTGCCAAATTTGGTTAAAATCGGTTTAGCGGTTTTTGAGTTATCGTGTTACAGACAGACAGACAGACAGACACCATGAAAATAGACCCAAATAACTCATTTTGAGTGAAATTAAATAAAAGTGATTATTAAAACTTTTTTTTTGCCAATCTTAAGAGCCTACCATACCTATTGGTATGATCGGCTAAAAATGTATCTATTTTTTCTTTGTTAAATGTTAAAATCTTTCGAATTAAGCACTTTTTGATAGTAACATTGCTTTGAACTGAGGCATTCTTAATTAAACACCGTTAAAGTGAAAAAATAGATGTAGAAAAAACAATAAAAACACTTCCGTACGTCTGCTGGATCTGTGTCTATGAAAGGAATGCGGACAAAAAACATTTAAATAAACAGCAATATATTTTATACGTCGACTTGACGAGTACGTCACCGCAAATCGCTCCGCCCACTCACTTTATTGGCTACTTGTAAATTTGTCGAATTTTTATTGATGGGACGCGTCGTCTAATTTTTTACGAAAAACATAGAGAGAATATCGTTTCCCCTCTCACGGATACCCCGTAGCTACAGAACGGACAGACGTACTGTACATAATTTAACAATTTTTATTGTGCAAAACTGGCAGAATTGTTATCTCTTCTATTTACGAAGATCTATCCAATGATCAAGCTCGAATTTGAGACAGCCTGTATAGGGATATGTGCACGTAATATTGGGACAGCTTGTATATTGTTTTGTAATAAATAAAAACCATTTGATGAAAAATATAATTTTATTTGTAAATAAATATCAAAATATAAACACATAACACCTTACACAAAAATCCGTATAAAAATTATAATCTAGACAAAAATATTTTTTGGTTTAATCATATTGAGTGTTTTAACTTACAGATATATTATAAGTGATGCACACGCATTGCTAATTTCATATACTCATTAACAATGTTATAATTATTGATAAAGTAAATACATTTAAAAAATAATAGAGATACAGATGTAGATAATAACTAATATCTATATTATTTTTTATTACACAACATTATTTTATTAAGTACATGTAAATTCTTTATAAGTAAAAATGACTAGCATTTCTGTATCTTTGTATGGAAAGGTCACATCACAATACTATTTTACTTTATCGGCATGTACCTAGTATCTATATGATCTAAATGTAGTGTATACAGGATGTTCAAAAAATACACCGCTTAATTTCAGAGGTCATAAAATAATATGAAACAAGTTCTGATAGACAATGATACGGAAATGTATAGTTTTAAAGATACTGGCTTTAGTCAAGGCATTGAGACGGTATGATGAGTTTAAATTACAATTTAAGAAAGGAGGACCCAGTAGATCTATACGCTCGCGATGATTAATTCTGTATCTTTAAAATTTCACATTTCCAGACATAGGTTTATGGGAACAATTTCTCATATTTTTTGATGAGGAATAACATCACCCTGAAATTTTGCCTTGCATTTTTTAAACATCCTGTATAAAATTAACTAAAAATGAGCTACCGAGACTGTGGTATTTGTTACGTCGAATCCATTTGACATTGCGGTATTGTTGGCGTTTGATCTGTGTAGGTTTGCGTCTCTGCGTCTCAGATCACTTTTCACAAACAAGATGGTCATTGTAGCAAAAGCAAATATAATGAAAGTGGCTACAAAAGTGTAGAAATACCCTATGGAGTCGTACAATGCTCCTAGCAGTAATGTTGCTACAATTCCCAGTAGGTTGTAGGAAGCATTGAAGGCTGAAGCACTGCAAGCCTCTGATATGGGATAGGTTATCTCGACCAAGTACTCGAAACCAACTATCAGGACTGGAGCTAGAAAGAAGCTATAAAATAACAGAAAAAAAATTAGTATTAAAAAAAATAAAAAAACATGAAAATATAGTTTAATTTTTTCTTGAGTTTCATACAAACTGTCATTCCTAATTTCACCCTCTTAAGAGATGAGTTTCCAAAAATTATCAAGACTTATTATAACAATAACTTAAAATTACTTACTTTAAAATATTAAAAATACTTACCCAAAAATAGGTATAACTATAAACGTTCCAATTCTACTTTTTTCAACCAATGTAAATATCACGCCTACGTAAATGAGAGAAGAACTTGCCAAAAGGAAAATACTGATTTTTCTGTAAAAAAATAAAATTTAAATATCATTTTTAACAAAGAGAGAAAAACATAAAGACATACTTAAATTCATGAGTTTTGTCTAGTAAAATGCCCACTATCATGCTCCCTATGCATCCTCCACTGATGATTGTTATCAAAGCTATCAAGCCAGCATCATTTTCACCTGTCTAAAACAATAATATACCGGGTGTGTCATTATATGTATAGTGTAAACATTTTATTTTGTTCCAAGAAGTATAAAAGAGACAAAATATTCAGATTTTTTTTGAGGAACATCACGTATATAGTTTTACTTACTGGAAAATAGTGTAAATACAGAGTATTCAATAATATCCCGAAGGAATTCCATACACCGTTTGCGAGACCTAAAGAAAAAACTATCAACCAGAAATTCTTGTTTTTTCCTATTTTCTTCATATTTTCGAAGAAATTTGGCAGCGGGGCGTCGCTGTTTGACAGCAGGTCGACTTGGGATTGGCTGGGAGGCAACTGCGGTCTTCTCCTGAAAACTTTTTCGAGTTGATCATATAAATAAATACACCAAGGACCAATAAAATAAGTAAACCCAGAAGATTTGTTATTTAGATGTTAATACATCTCTATGTTTACTTATTTCTTTGGGTGTGAAACTTACGGCATAGTACCAAAATAAATGCTACAAAACTGACTATTGCCTGATACAAGAACATGTCAAACAATTGACCCTGTATGACATCTGACGATTCATTTTTAACAATCATTGGTGACTGAACACAACCAAGTGCTGTACCTAACAAAAGAAAAAAATTATCAGCTGTGTCTATTGTCATAAACTAATTTTATTACAGCTGAGATATATGGTTAGTCGGTCTTTTATATATCATCACTCAGTATTACCTAGCTGCATTCCTAGCACCCCTATAGCGCAAGCTGTAGAGACTTCTTCAGATCCAAACCAAGTTGTAGCTAGCTTCGAAGGTATACTATACAGATACACCTGACCAATTGCTATAAGAGCTTGAGCTAGTAGAACTAGCCAAAATCTATCGGGGTTTGCAGATAAAAGCTTGAGTAGATTTCCTGCAAGCGTTAGAAGCATGGCACAACCAACTGTCAACTTCAAATTCTACGAAAGAAACGTATATCTCTGTAGAAGTTTTAACTTCTGGACTATCCTGTATATTATACTTACATATTTTTCTATGAGATAACTGATAGGATAGAACAATATTATGTAAGAGATGAAGAATATGAGACCTGTTAAGTCGACTAGAAAGCTTTCTACATTGTAAAATCTAAAATAAAAATTAAAGTTGATTAAAAAAATTATATGATTATTAAATAGATTCGTCTACTTACCTGGAAATGATATTTGAGATTATAGAAAATTGCAGAAGTTGCATAAAATTTAAAATTGAGACTAAATCAAAGAGGGCTAAGATCATCCATCTATATTTGTAAATTTTAATTGAATTTATATTATTGTTTGAACTTATAGTAGTCAGAGATGTTCCAGACAACATTTTTCGTATATTTCTTGTTGTTTTTCCCCTCAAATCTAAAAAAGAAATGAACACATTTTGTTTATAAATATTGTTATAGGATATTATAGGATACCATTGAAAAAAAGGCGTCAAGGACGCCTGGGGAATGTCAATTGATAATAATTTTGGCAAGTTCAAGCCCTAGATATTTACTTCGTCTGTACTTTTTTTTATTTTTTAATGCGCTTACTGCAAGTTGGTCTTAAGAATATTTTTTATGTCAATTATCAATAAACCATGTCTAGAGAGTGACCTAGCCAAAATTATCATCCCTGAAAATCTACATTATATGTTCCAAGTGAGAGGTTTTAGGACTCTAAAGGCTTTTAAGGGCTGTAACTTTTCGGCAGGAAGCACTTTAGGGCATATGTTCATCTCACTGAAGTTTTGTACATTATTTATTTTATACCCTGTATATAATATGGACTATCATTGTTGTAGGTAGTATTGGGAATTTAGAAGGGTATTTTCTAATGTACCGAGGTTAGTTTAATGCAAAGTATACAGAAAATAAAAATAATAATACAAACTTACCATTTATCTCCTAGAATTTAGTGCCACACCCTATACATGTATTTGTAATTTCCATATCTAAATGCTATTTGGTAATTTTGAAGCTAACTATGTTCTATATTCTTTAGAAATGCTAAGATCATATCTAGATATAATCTAAAAAGAATATTAATAAAAAATAAGCTAAATTATTAACTAAAGATATTAAAAAAAATATATATTCTGAAATCTTTAGTGAGTAAATTTTGAAACCCCTTTACCTTAAAACAACTCACAAATCAGTGATTTATTCACAAAACAATTAAAGGTACAAACGTAAACAGTTTTCTCTAAATCAACTAATAACATAGGTATACCAAACAGGTTATATTAATTTGTTTTATAGCCTTGAATAAATAATAAAATAAACTGCGAGGAGTACCATCGGAGTACCTATGCAATTATCAAACAACAATTTTATTGATAATTATCAAAATTATAAATTTAATTTTAGTCAACCAAATATACTTGTTAAAAAAATAACGTAGGTTTTTGCGAATTCTTTTAAATGTTTATGTAGTATTCTGATTTGATTCGGCCTATGATGACTTAATAATTAGACATAACGACCTTGCTAGTGAAATTTGGCTCTAAATGATGCCATACCGAGTGTTTAAATTTAAAGTATATATAAAGGCGCGTTTTTTAATTTTTAAATGACATTTTTTTCTTGTAGCGCTACTGTAGTGAATATCTTGAATAATATACAGGGTGAAGATTAATATACCGGTATTTGATGTAGAATTCTCGTCTCATTCTGGTTGTCAATAAAACAGTTTATTTTTAACTAATATAATTAATTTAATTATTTATTTAATATTAAATATTATTTAATGTTTTGTTTTTATATATTATAAATTATTATAATAATATAATATTTTTTTCTTTTGTCCCAAAATACTAGCACAAATCATTAGTAAATAACAGTATTATCATCAAAAGAATATATTAAAACGGAATTATAACGAGAAAACTTTCCTGGACTGGGTCCTTTTCAACTGGATGGCATGTGTCCATCAGCAGTTTACCATTAGCTGAAGAAGTATGATTCTTCGGTTGTGGGGTATAAATTCATTATTAAAGAACATTATTAGTATCAAAAGAATATATTAAAACCAAATTATAACGAGAAAACTTTCCTGGACTGGGTCCTTTCGAACTGGATGGAATGTGTCCATCAGCAGTTTACCATTAGCTGAAGAAGTATGATTCTTCGGTTGTGGGGTATAAATTCATTATTATATAACATTATTATGATCAAAAGAATATATTAAAACCGAATGATAACGAGAAATCTTTCCTGGACTGGGTCCTTTCGAACTGGATGGCATGTGTCCATCAGCAGTTTACCATTAGCTGAAGAAGTATGATTCATCGGTTGTGGAGTATAAATTCATTATTAAATAACATTATTATGATCAAAAAAATATATTAAAACCGAATTATAACGAGAAAACTTTCCTGGACTGGGTCCTTTCGAACTGGATGGAATGTGTCGATCAGCAGTTTACCATTAGCTGAAGAAGTATGATTCTTCGGTTGTGGGGTATAAATTCATTATTAAATAACATTATTATGATCAAAAAAATATATTAAAACCGATTTATAACGAGAAATCTTTCCTGGACTGGGTCCTTTCGAACTGGATGGCATGTGTCCATCAGCAGTTTACCATTAGCTGAAGAAGTATGATTCATCGGTTGTGGGGTATAAATTCATTATTAAATAACATTATTATGGTCAAAAAAATATATTAAAACCGAATTATAACGAGAAAACTTTCCTGGACTGGGTCCTTTCGAACTGGATGGAATGTGTCCATCAGCAGTTTACCATTAGCTGAAGAAGTATGATTCTTTGATTGGGTGGTATAAATTCATTATTAAATAACATTATTATGATCAAAAAAATATATTAAAACCGATTTATAACGAGAAATCTTTCCTGGACTGGGTCCTTTCGAACTGGATGGCATGTATCCATCAGCAGTTTACCATTAGCTGAAGAAGTATGATTCATCGGTTGTGGGGTATAAATTCATTATTAAATAACATTATTATGATCAAAAAAATATATTAAAACCGAATTATAACGAGAAAACTTTCCTGGACTGGGTCCTTTCGAACTGGATGGAATGTGTCCATCAGCAGTTTACCATTAGCTGAAGAAGTATGATTCTTTGATTGGGTGGTATAAATTCATTATTAAATAACATTATTATCATCAAAAGTATATATTAAAACCGAATTATAACGAGAAATCTTTCCTGGACTGGGTCCTTTTGAACTGGATGGCGTGTGTCCATCGGCAGTTTACCATTAGCTGAAGAAGTACAATTCTTCGGTTGTGGGGTATAAATTCATTATTAAATAATATTATTATGACCAAGAGAATATATTAAAACCGAATTATAACGAGAAAACTTTCCTGGACTGGGTCCTTTTGAACTGGATGGCATGTATCCATCAGCAGTTTACCATTAGCTGAAGAAGTATGATTCTTCGGTTGTGGGGTATAAATTCATTATTAAAGAACATTATTAGTATCAAAAGAATATATTAAAACCAAATTATAACGAGAAAACTTTCCAGGACTGGGTCCTTTTGAACTGGATGGCATGTGTCCATCAGCAGTTTACCATTAGCTGAAGAAGTATGATTCTTTGGTTGGGTGGTATAAATTCATTATTAAATAACATTATTATGATCAAAAGAATATATTAAAACCGAATTATAACGAGAAATCTTTCCTGGACTGGGTCCTTTTGAACTGGATGGCATGTGTCCATCGGCAGTTTACGATTAGCTGAAGAAGTACAATTATTCGGTTGTGGGGTATAAATTCATTACTAAATAACATTATTATCATCAAAAGTATATATTAAAGCGGAATTATAACGAGAAAACTTTCCTGGACTGGGTCCTTTTGAACTGGATGGCATGTGTCCATCAGCAGTTTACCATTAGCTGAAGAAGTATGATTCTTCGGTTGTGGGGTATAAATTCATTATTAAAGAACATTATTATGATCAAAAGAATATATTAAAACCGAATTATAACGAGAAATCTTTCCTGGACTGGGTCCTTTCGAATTGGATGGCATGTGTCCATCAGCAGTTTACCATTAGCTGAAGAAGTATGATTCATCGGTTGTGGGGTATAAATTCATTATTAAATAACGTTATTATGATCAAAAGAATATATTAAAACCGAATTATAACGAGAAAACTTTCCTGGACTGGGTCCTTTTGAACTGGATGGCATGTGTCCATCGGCAGTTTACCATTAGCTGAAGAAGTACAATTATTCGGTTGTGGGGTATAAATTCATTACTAAATAACATTATTATCATCAAAAGTATATATTAAAACGGAATTATAACGAGAAAACTTTCCTGGACTGGGTCCTTTCGAACTGGATGGAATGTGTCCATCAGCAGTTTACCATTAGCTGAAGAAGTATGATTCTTCGGTTGTGGGGTATAAATTCATTATTAAATAACATTATTATGATCAAAAGAATATATTAAAAACCGAATTATAACGAGAAATCTTTCCTGGACTGGGTCCTTTCTGAACTGATGGCATGTGTCCATCAGCAGTTTACCATTAGAAGAAGTATGATTCATCGGTTGTGGAGTATAAATTCATTATTAAATAACATTATTATGATCAAAAAAATATATTAAAACCGAATTATAACGAGAAAACTTTCCTGGACTGGGTCCTTTCGAACTGGATGGAATGTGTCCATCAGCAGTTTACCATTAGCTGAAGAAGTATGATTCATCGGTTGTGGGGTATAAATTCATTATTAAATAACATTATTATGATCAAAAAAATATATTAAAACCGAATTATAACGAGAAATCTTTCCTGGACTGGGTCCTTTCGAACTGGATGGAATGTGTCCATCAGCAGTTTACCATTAGCTGAAGAAGTATGATTCTTTGATTGGGTGGTATAAATTCATTATTAAATAACATTATTATGATCAAAAGAATATATTAAAACCGAATTATAACGAGAAATCTTTCCTGGACTGGGTCCTTTTGAACTGGATGGCATGTGTTCATCAGCAGTTTACCATTAGCTGAAGAAGTATGATTCTTCGGTTGTGGGGTATAAATTCATTATTAAATAACATTATTATGATCAAAAGAGTATATTAAAACCGAATTATAACGAGAAATTTTTCCTGGACTGGGTCCTTTCGAACTGGATGGCATGTGTCCATCAGCAGTTTACCATTAGCTGAAGAAGTATGATTCTTTGATTGGGTGGTATAAATTCATTATTAAATAACATTATTATGATCAAAAGGATATATTAAAACCGAATTATAACGAGAAAACTTTCCTGGACTGGGTCCTTTCGAACTGGATGGCATGTGTACATCAGCAGTTTACCATTAGCTGAAGAAGTATGATTCTTCGGTTGCGGGGTATAAATTCATTATTAAGTAACATTAATATAATCAAAAGAATATATTAAAATCGAATTATAACGAGAAAACTTTCCTGGACTGGGTCCTTTTGAACTGGATGGAATGTGTCCATCAGCAGTTTACCACTAGCTGTATATATATGTAGGTATACCATTAGCTGTATATGTGCGTAGGTATATGTGTATAGAAATTAAACAAAATTATAGTCTTGTAAAAATACTAAGTAAAGAAAACCTGTATTATTTTCCCATAATTATTAAGCAAACCTAGATAATTATTTTTCAAAAGTCCGACAATCTAATTGAAGGTATCAAATCAATTTTGCATATTTTTATTTTTTATGTTGCTGTAATTTATGTGCATATTTTCATTGAAAATCCTTATAGTAATATTAGAAAACAGTTATTGATATTTAAATCAAATTTTTCTTAATACCATAAGCAATTATTTTTAAAAAATACTCCAAATTTAAAAATATTAGCTGTGTCTGCAAATCGTCAGTTTACAGATACGGAAACCACGCGTCACAGATTTTCACGTTAAACTGCGAAATTCCCTGTTTACATTTTCGAAAAATAAAGCACCACAAACTAACAGGCTTTGTTTGTCACTCGTTTTTGAGATGATCCAGTTTGACAAGGACAAAATAAACAACACTAGTAGAGATATCCATCAATATTTAGTTTATAAATTAGTGAAAAAGCTTTAAATTGTTTAATTCAGATATATTTTGAATTAATAGAACCCAAACCTTTTAAGAAAAGTACCATACGATGAAAAAAAGGCGCTTGACGATGATAATTTTTGGGAGGTCTAGCCCTAGATGTCATTTTTATAGTCCGTACTCTTCTTTGCTTCTAAATGACTGCCAGTTGGTCTTAAGAAGGTTGTAATTTATTTATACAGGGTGGTCCAAACTGTATTCCGAAAAAACTCTGTTTCA